CTCTGATTGGACTGATGTTTATGTTGATGATGTTAATAATTCTTATAATACATTTCTAGAAATATTTTTGGGAGCTTATGATAAACATTGTCCTCTAAAATATCATAAGCAAAACTTAAAAAAAGGTCCTCACACTGGATTGTTAGGGGATTGGAAAGGGCGTGCCAGAAAAAGAAATCAATGTATCTGGATTTTATAAAAAATCCAACGAAGGAAAAAGAAAAACAGTATAAGGAATATAAAAACAAATTAACTACAATAATAAGGAAGCGAAAAAAGGAATATTATGATCAGCTTTTCCTAAAACACAAAAATAATATTAAGGGTACATGGAATGTGTTAAATAAATTAATAAGAAATACAAAAGAAGCAGGTATAGATATTCACAATAAAAATGGAAGGAACATTGCAAATGAGTTTAATAAATATTTTGTGAATGTTGGCCCTAATCTAGCTAAAAAGCTGCCAGAAGTTGACATTAAAAATGAAATAAATGAAAATAATAATACAATGTTTTTGAGCAGTGTAAGCCAAAGTGATGTGATCCAAGCGGTACATAGTTTCAAAAGTAAAAAGTCCTTAGATTTTCATGGGATAGATATGTCTCTCATCAAGGTGGTTATCCATTGCATTGCTGAACCTTTTACTTATATTTGTAATAAATCCTTTTCAAGTGGCACAGTCCCAGAACAAATGAAAATATCCAGAGTTATTCCTATTTATAAAAGTGGTGATAAATTATTAGCTTGTAACTATAGACCTATCTCTTTACTGCCACAGTTTTCAAAGATACTTGAGAAACTTTTTGTAATTAGATTTGAAGCATTTACCATCAAGTTTGATGTTTTAAACGACCATCAGTATGGGTTTAGGAAGAACCGTTCAACCTCATTAGCAGTTATAGATTTGGTAGAGCAGATTGCAACAGCAGTGGATCAAAAACGTAATGTAGTGGCTGTCTTAATTGACTTGAGTAAGGCATTTGATACAATTGATCAGACATACCTGCTCAAGAAATGTGAATACTATGGTCTTCGTGGTAAAACCAATCAATGGCTTGAAAGTTATTTAAGCAGTAGATTTCAATATGTAAATGTTAATGATATAGATTCACAGCTTGAAAGAGTAATATGTGGTGTACCGCAAGGCTCAGTGCTAGGACCGAAATTATTCAACCTATACCTGAATGACATATTTTCTGTATCGTCTCGGTTAAAATTTATTATGTTTGCAGATGAAACTAATTTCATTTGTATGGGAAAAGATATGAGTAAATTATTACAAGAGGTTGAAAACAAATTGGGTTCAGTTAGAAAATGGTTTGATTACAACAAGCTATCACTAAATGAAAATAAAACCAAATTTATGATATTTTCAGGGAACAGGGACAATGACGGTGCTAAGCTGTATTTAAATGGAGTCCCAATTGAACAAGTATATGAAACCAAATTCCTCGGTGTGATTATTGATAGTAAACTCAGTTGGAAACCACATATTGAATGTATCAAACGGCAAGTGTCTAAATCTATTGCTATACTTTATAAAACTAGTGATGTACTAAATAAAAAAGCCTTGTTTTTAATTTATAGCTCTTTAGTTATGCCTTATTTGTCTTACTGTACAGAGGTTTGGGGAAAATGCAGGTAAAAGTTTGTTGAGACTGTATTTAAATTACAAAAAAAGGCGATTAGAATAGTTAATAAATTGGGATACCTCGAACCAACCCATAATCTATTTAGTCAAACTAAAACGCTAAAATTAGGAGATATTATTAAAGTAAAAATCTTAGAGATTCTTCATGAAGTAGTTATTAATATCCCAAATTGCATAAAAGTTTATTTCAAGCCAAGAGATGATCATTATAATCTCAGAGGTGTTATTTACTGTTTGAATATCCTA